CCTCAGACTGCTCTATTCTAGGGGTGAGATTCAATATACTTGCAAACTTGCTCATAGATTGATTGACACTATCTTTTACTAGTTTCAGGATATCATCAAATTTTGGCTCGATACCCTCATCCTCCATACGGGAGCTTATTTTCACCCACTTCCTTTGCAGTCGAGTAGGTAGGCATCTTGCTATTACTTCTAGTATAAAACTCGAGTTGGGGTCTATCATGCAATTCATCGAAATCAATGCATTCTTGTTGGTCAGCAGATTTTCCAAAAACTCAGTGAGTGCCTTGGAGTCATCTTGAAGGTGACTGCCGTTACCTTTGACAGCTTCGTATACGTTCCTTACAATCATCGAAGGTCTTCCAAACCTTTGACGTAATATGCTCATAGCCTCGCAGTAGCCCTCTTTTGGCTTCATAAACTTACAGCACTGTAAAGCTCTTGAAGCATCTCCAGTGCAATATCTCATCAAATACATTAACTTCAATTCATCGTTTGATAAAAAACCACTCAACATGATCTCAAACTCCTTTACAAATTGTAAATAATCGGCCGGGTTTCCATCAAAACATCGTGGTTCAAATTTAGGGAGTTTGATGTTCCTATTATCCCTGAACGGCGAAATAGTAACATCAACCATGTCATGCTTAACATCAGACACATCGTTACAATTAACAGACAAGTCACCATGACTTACTTTCGTGTTTGCATCCAAGACTCTCTGTCCCTTCTTTGACCCAGGCATTGTTGAACTTGACCAAAATCCAAAACAGTTCCAGATATTGCTTGTTCAGAGAGGACTTGGCCGGCACCAGGAAAGATGAATGGTGACTATCCAAAGTCGTGCCAAGTGTCCAAAACCATTTAAAAACTGACGTTGTACCGTCATAAACTGACTTCACCGTCAGAAACTGTCAGCCACGTCTCGTAAACCGTTAATGCCCAGCTCTTGCTACGCTCGGGCTCACGCTGTTCCTTGAAGTTTCTCAGAAACGCTTAGTAATAACGGACGAAAAAATCAAAACACCAGTTGTTGACTCGAGGATTCTTTATTGTTACACCAACATATAAATATTGTTATAACTGAGGTCTGTGAACAAATATTACAATAATAAATCACAATACTACTTCTGACGGTTTACTGCTGACTTCTTTCTGAACAGCGACCGATGAGACGATGACTGTTGTATTGATGCCTCCGCGAAAATTGGGGAAGTTGGTTTTGAGCAAACAACCATGAATTGATCGTTCAATCTTCAACTGCATTGATATCATATGAGGAACGACTAAATAAATTAGGTCTTTTCACACTTGGTTACCGTAGGCACAGGGGAGACCTCATCACCATCTACCAGATGTTAAATGACCAGGACCACCCAAATAAAAGCATCCTGCCATTAAGTGACTATAGGCTTCCACGAGGTCACCCGCTAAGGATGGCACACCAGAGACCAAAGACTCGAGTGCGATCACATTTCTTTTCACTTCGAGTTTGCTGTCTCTGGAACGCTTTACCGACGGCCGTGACTACAGCGCCATCTGTTGAGATTTTTAAGCGGAAGCTAGACAATCATGCAGAAATGCAAGGTTTGTGTCTCAATGGCTCATCCTCATAAAACTTAAAACCACACTGTCAGTGGATAAGCATACAAACTAAATCCCCACGACCTATTCTGCCTTCTCTCACTGTATCGACTACTCTGTCTTTTCCTTAGGTTACGTTCATTATTTCACTTATCTCAACCCATATTATCTACACTACAACCTATTATTATTATTACTATTCTGCTTTTATGACTACACCGAATGACCAACAGGAGTTAGGTCAAACTCCATTCACGGCAGCAACACAGTCCTAACATACTGCATACAACAAACCACATCTTGACCGATCCCCGCACCACTCCTGTTGGAGCCCACCAGAGCTAGAGGAGTCGACTGGGGGGACTTACTACGCAGAAGCTCACCGAAGATCTGGAACCTCTACCTCACGATCAAGAAGCGAGCTCAAAGAAATCACTGGTTTATACTATCTCGTAATCAGGATATTGGATATTGAAGTGGGCAGCCTGTAGTCGTCCATAATTTTGAGTGACCAAGAATGAGATAAACAAGCGATTCGCTCGCTCATGATTGGCCAGTTTGTCATTCGAGTTGAGGTAATTTCAAACATTGTTTTGCTGCTTGGTTAAATTCTGAATTTCCGGGATCGTTTTATCAAATTTGAAAGGTAACTGAAAACACAAACTATTACAGCTCAGGAGAGAAATGATATACCAGTGAATTTATTTGCTGAATTCAACGAATTCATGCCAAATTAAGATCTAAGGACTTCTTAAGGGTGTCAAGAATGCAAACAATGTTCTGAAGAAGTAATAACTTCACACAACTTCAATTATCGCTTGACCATTATTTTCAGAGATCCTTAAATAAGTATGATATACACAGTGGTCTGGCTAATCATGATAAAAATGGCATGGTTGATGCAGCATATACATATGCTCATGTTTATGTAGGTAAACCTAGATAAACTGTGTTCCCGTCATGGAGATCGGAAAGCAGGTATCAGATGTCTCAGTGAGCAGTGTAATACATGTAAGTTACATGTTTTTATTTGACATAAACTGGATCTCCACTCACTTTCAGAATTAATCTTAAATTCAGTTGGAATAAGCTGGTTGAGCACATCAGTCTTGAGAGAATACAGTGAAAGTAAGTAAACACATGCTTATCAAGATTAAGTGATACACTTATTTGGTATGATTGTATTATTATTAGTTGTCTATCTAAGTTAATGATGAATTCGTTGCGATAATAATACCTATTATTGTTTTTATGGTCACTATGAACATGAATGTTATTATTATTTCTGTCATGACCTATTATTTGTCATAAAGTGGTTGTCATTTTTGTTAAAATATTTGTACAAGCTTTGAAAACTACTGCATAACTTGTTGTTAGATAATTTTATCATTTCATGATGCTTCTATGGACCTACTAGATATCGACCAACGATAAGTTGCGAAGTCCCTTAAGTTTAGTGAAAACTATTGTGCTACTTATACATATATACATTGTTTGTAAAATGATTACTTGTAAATGCTTATCAGGAAAATTTTTTATTCAGATCATACATGTAATACCCGGGTTAATTATGCTTTTCTTACACCTTTTCAGATTTATGGAAAAACATATATGTGCCGTGTTCTCAGATGGAACTTACTGACGGTAACAGAGGACTACTCATCTGAATTATCTGTACATTTGAAATCTGGTTTTGTTTGATAAACAATTTTTCAATGAATCTGTCTTCCTTCTGTTGTAATGCGATTGTGTTCCAGTAACATATGTAGCACGTGCTAAGTCAGAAGTTGAGGGTAAACTGTTAGGAGTAAATGCGGTGTCTGGAAGACTTTTGTTTACGTGATTATATGAGCAGATAGAAACGTATCGTGTTCTTTGGCTGAGAATCCTAGGCATTCTGTTTTTAATTATTACGATAACCGTAGTTGCACTGAGTTATCCATCTAACAGCATAGGTATAGTCTCTCCTTATGGTACACTGCGACATGCAGAAATCACAAGCAAACACATAGGTGCACTAACTCCTGAACTCTTCCTACGGCTGTACAAAATATACGTCAGACCACACCTTGAAGTGCACAATACCGCTGCACCCCCATTGCTTAGAAGAGACGCCAACCTTTTGGAAAGAGTTCAAAGATGGGCAACAAGAGACGTGGTGGGTCTCCGAAATCAACTATTCGATGAACGTCTGAACAAATTAGATCGTTTAACACTCAGCTACCGTCGGCTCAGAAGGGACTTAATTATTGCCTATGAGATCACAAATGACCAGAATCACCCAAAGGTATTTTGTTATTATTCCTCGTGGGAATACACGAAGGAAAGCTCCCCAGAGAGCGAAACTCGACTGCTCTTGCATTTCTTTCACCTTGAGTTTTCTGCCCCTGAAACTCTCGACCGGCAGATGTGACTACTGCACCATCCGCGAAGAGCCTTAAGCGAAGGCCAGAAAATCATGTAGCGACACAAGGACTGCATCCAAAAGGCCTATCACCTTAAGAGTGGGCATATACTTAATCTCGTCTTTTACTCCTTCACATTCTCGCTTGTCTTCCTCTCTTGACTACTTCAACTATTACGTCTCTTACACTATTATTATCATCGATATTATATAAATACGTATTTTTGTAGTACACAGAAATCAATTTCGAGTTTCATTAACTGTTTGTTTTTACGTTTTCTTTTTCTTAAGACTCCATAACCTACACAATTATAACTGTTGTTGTTATGATTCTTATCTATTTTTTTCCGACCACACAGGACGACTCACGTGTCGAAGGATCAGCTCCATAGACAGTAGCAAAACTGCCTAAACACACCGCATACTACAAGCTATATTAAATCAATTCCAGAACCACTAATTTCAGAGTCAAACAAAGCTACGACAGTCGAGTGGCTGGACGAACTCCGCAAAAGTCCACCTAATACCTGGGACCTTTACTTCACAACCAAGAAACGAGATATGTTTGATATATATTTCTTGCTGTTCATGCAGGAACATACCAATTGTACAGGCATGGATGATTTTTTATATAAATTACACATAATTTGATATATGGTGAATTTACCGTTTAGTTGTTCTTTCTGGTATTAGAGTCAGTCGGAACGGTCTGCTCTAAAGTCTGTTTGTGTAGCACATAAAAAGATATAGAAATATTGTCTTTGCATTAACAAAAAGCCAGACATCAGATGAATGTAATACAGATATCTGGGAAAAAAAGCTTGAAGTCAATTCTCCTATATAACGTTGTTGTGAACAGCACCCTTGGCTTAAAGTATATTGATGTATTATGTTGAGATCAGTGATATATTTATTCCTTTTTTCAGCAGCCTTATCGTAGTTTTATAACAGGAAAGAAATTTGATCGTGGATGCGAAAACTAGATTACTGCTAGCCTGAAGTGCATTGAATGTTGAATGCGGTAAATATTTAGACAGCGCTACTTGTGCCGTAGGTAGACTCCATGTTTTGATTGTATCGTTGTAAACATTTCATCATTACCATGAGGCATTTTTAAATATTAAATATTTTAATTTGTCATCAAAAATGCACAGTAATTCTTCATAATGTTAGTTACGTGCAAACTGTTGAGATCGATCTCTTATATTATAGCCACATAAAAACTCACTAGTGATTATCTTGAGAATTTTACCCAATGAAGCATGTGGTATTATCACTGAGTTTTGCTTTTGCGGAAAAAATTTTACTTCGTGAGTGAATCAATAGAAGTTGGTGGGGCTGTGGTAATGCAGTTAATGCATATTTATAGGAACTAGTCCTTGAAAGCGTAACCCAAAAACAAGCTTGCACTATTAAGTGTAATTCAGAGTGCTGCCCGGTGAGAAGTCGAAAGTTCCTCCAAATTACTGTTGTGCATGCGCTACTTAATCAGTTCAAATTCAGATTATAAAGATAGGCTATTGTTGCCTATGTTAATTCTTGAGATATATATCCGCAAAGGCATATTTTCTCTTCAAAAGCGATGTAGCTGTTGCTATTGGATCAGGTAAGGAGTTCCAATTGTTAACCACTGTGTGAGAGAACCTAAATTCTATAAGATTTTCATACAACCTGGGTTTGAGCACTGTCTTGTTGTGACCTCATAAACGTATCCAATATCGTTTTTACGAGCTAGTGTGAACCACGTTGATTTCTTTGATCTCGCTTCTTGGTTGTGAAGTAAAGGTCCCAGGTATTAGGTGGACTTTTGCGGAGTTCGTCCAGCCACTCGACTGTCGTAGCTTTGTTTGACTCTGAAATTAGTGGTTCTGGAATTGATTTAATATAGCTTGTAGTATGCGGTGTGTTTAGGCAGTTTTGCTACTGTCTATGGAGCTGATCCTTCGACACGTGAGTCGTCCTGTGTGGTCGGAAAAAAATAGATAAGAATCATAACAACAACAGTTATAATTGTGTAGGTTATGGAGTCTTAAGAAAAAGAAAACGTAAAAACAAACAGTTAATGAAACTCGAAATTGATTTCTGTGTACTACAAAAATACGTATTTATATAATATCGATGATAATAATAGTGTAAGAGACGTAATAGTTGAAGTAGTCAAGAGAGGAAGACAAGCGAGAATGTGAAGGAGTAAAAGACGAGATTAAGTATATGCCCACTCTTAAGGTGATAGGCCTTTTGGATGCAGTCCTTGTGTCGCTACATGATTTTCTGGCCTTCGCTTAAGGCTCTTCGCGGATGGTGCAGTAGTCACATCTGCCGGTCGAGAGTTTCAGGGGCAGAAAACTCAAGGTGAAAGAAATGCAAGAGCAGTCGAGTTTTGCTCTCTGGGGAGCTTTCCTTCGTGTATTCCCACGAGGAGGCCCATATGCACTTAATAACAAAATACCTTTGGGTGATTCTGGTCATTTGTGATCTCATAGGCAATAATTAAGTCCCTTCTGAGCCGACGGTAGCTGAGTGTTAAACGATCTAATTTGTTCAGACGTTCATCGAATAGTTGATTTCGGAGACCCACCACGTCTCTTGTTGCCCATCTTTGAACTCTTTCCAAAAGGTTGGCGTCTCTTCTAAGCAATGGGGGTGCAGCGGTATTGTGCACTTCAAGGTGTGGTCTGACGTATATTTTGTACAGCCGTAGGAAGAGTTCAGGAGTTAGTGCACCTATATGTGTGTATGACCTCATATACCTTTGCTACATCACCCGTGTAATTCACGCTTGTGTCCAGTGTTTTCGTCAGAACTAGACCCAAGTTGCGTTTCGACGTTGTGCAGGACAAGTTTTCGTTTCACGGGATGTGACTTTGTTTCTGTCCAAATTTTGAAGTCATTAGTGTAAAGAAGAATCAAGCAGCTTAGACTGCATGGTAGGTTATTGATAAAAATCAAAAACATCAATGGCCCTATAATAAAACCATGCGACACTCCTGAAGACGAGCCGTGCCAAGATGATCGGAATCGATTGATTTTAGTACAACATTTCTTTTCGGCTAGGTAGTCCTTCAACCATTACAGAAGCGGCTTACCTATACACGCCTGATTTATTTTGTGTTGGAGGTCATGGTGAACTGTGTCAAATGCTTTCTCAAAGTCTAGGAAGACCACATGAACTGGAACATTCACGTCATATTATGATGTCCAATCGTTGCAAGCTGATAGTAAGTTTTTTACACGGAATCTGCCTTTCCTGAAACCGCGTTGGGCTCTATGGGGTCTATTAGTCCTATCGAGGTGCTCCCTGATGTGATCATTAATACTTTCCAGTACTTTGATACCATTAGGAGTGGGGCTACCGGTCGATAACTAGTGGTATTTTGCGTATCCCTACCCTCGGAAAAAGCAGGAAGAGTGGCTATTTTCTACTCCCTTGGCAGTTTCCCTAAATCTATTGTCTGTCTGTCTGGATTCAACATAGAACTTGGCACCGAAGTGCAGCAGTTCGAGTTGCCACCTTCCAAATAGCACACAGAGGTAGACAAGAAGATGAGTGAAGAGAATCAATACAGTTTGACAAGTATTAGAGTGAAACAGAATGGGTAATGGTAGAAAGGAATATGAAAGATTACAGAGACTGAATACATCTGCGATTTTGAGCCATGTCACCTATTGTCTCCAGCCATTGATTCCTAGAGTCCCGAGGGCCCCAACCCGGGAGTCTGCATCTCCCTACCTGACTCAGTTTAACTGTCAAGGATTTCATGGATTGATGCCATGTTTTTGTTTGGCCACCACTGGCTCTTTTCCAACCTGAACCTATATCAGCTAGCAATGCCCGTCGGGGGAGGCGGTGGTTAGGCATGCGCAGCACGTGACCTAGCCATCTTAGTCTATGTAACTTTATAGCCTCGTCGATTGATTTTCCCTCTTTGCCCAACACTCTACGCCTAACGTCAACATTACTTATCTTGTGAAACCACCTAACGTGAGACAGAGATCGCAGACATCTATGATCGAAAGCAGTCAACCTTTTCATGTCTTCAACGCGTATTGGCCATGTTTCAGAGCCATAGAGAAGGACGGAGCGAACTGATGAGCAGTACACACGTCCCTTGGTTGATAACCGGATGTCACGCCTACGCCAGAGATGGTGTAAGTCAGCGAAAGCAGCTCGAGCTTTTCGGATCCGTGCTGAGATTTCATCGCCAATCAGTCCGTTGGTGCTAATACAACTTCCCAAATAGGTGAAGTGGTCAACATGTTCTATCACTTCACTCCCTATCACTAAGTTAGGGGTTGACGTGGTCCAGTCCTGTAGCAGCATCTTACATTTTGTAGGGGCGAATCGCATGCCAAACATACGAAGATTGCTGCTCAAGGTGTTCAGAAGACTCTGCATTTTGTCAGCATCCTCCCCTAACAGGACTATGTCATCTGCATATTCTAAGTCCATAAGACTATTCCCTGGTAACAAGTCGATTCCTAAGTCGTTACGTTCAGTTAAGGATACTTCCATCAGCATATCTATGATGAAGTTAAACAGAAATGGGGAAAGTGGACATCCCTGTCGGACACCACTGGTTGTTACCAATTCAGATGACAATTCCCCATAAGCCCTTACACGACTACGTGAGTTTGAATAGAGTGCCTTGATTAGTGCAATGTACTTTCTTGGCACTCCCTTCACAGTCAGACATTGCCATAGTACCTTTCGATCCACGGAGTCGAAGGCCGCCTTCAAGTCAAGAAATATGACAATTGTTGGACGCCGAAAAGTGTGTCTATGTTCTAGAATCTGTCGAAGAGTGAAGATATGATCTATGCACCCTCTACCTGGTCTAAAGCCTGCTTGATTTTCCCTTGTCTGTTCCTCCCGAGTTCTGCTTAGTCTATGCATGATTACTGAGCCTAGGATTTTAGAGACTATGTTCGTTAGGCTGATCCCCCTATGATTATCACACGAGGACTTGTTTCCCTTCTTGAATATCGGTATAATAAGTGACTTACCCCAGTCTGATGGCACTGTCTCTGATTCCCAGACTTTGCCTAGTACCTCAGTTAATCTACAAACTAGTATGTCACCCCCATATTTAAACACCTCCGGAATAATTCCGTCGGGTCCTGCCGCTTTGCCTCGTTTCAAATTACTGATAGCTTTTGTGACCTCACTTACAGATGGCGGACCAGTGTCTATATTCCATTGAGTGCTGGAACACGTAGCATAGGGGCCTACAGAACAGATAACCTAATGTCGTCACAACTCGGGGACTTTTCAGGTGTCTCTGTGACTTGCCTACTACCGTTGTTGGGTTTATTTGGAGAGTAGCCACTAGGTTTCCCTTTGTAAAGTAGCACTGTAGCCCTTCTGGTCTATACCGGTAAAATCCATATTACTGTTTAACTGTTTTTCAAAGGCTGAACTGAATGTTTCAGCCATTTCCAAACTGGTGAAACATTGACCGTTTAGACCTACTAAGGCACATGCCCCTTGGTTGGTAGGTTTTCTCTTCGACATGAGTCGATAGTGGCTTTTAGGGTTCGCCAGGAGTTTTCTGGCAAGGTTCGCCTGAAATCACCTATCGCTCCTGACTTGTGTTGTATTGGTTCCTGGGTTCCAGGTACGCATCGTGGTCGGTCTGACTCTCGGATATTCGCCACGTAGTAGTTCACACTTTTAATGTGGTTAATAAAGTTACTACTCAGTCTACGTAACTTGAACATAGAAAGCGGGACTCAAGTGTAATACTTGATACCACCCTTATTTCCCTCGAAATTTCTGAAAATACTATTTTGACTAATGAAAATAAGGGAGAGTAAAAATGTGGTAAATTGGTGTTGTCAATATCTCAAAATAGGTTTACTCAGGAAAGAAAAACAGGAGTGAAACATTTTTATAGTTGTCATAGTTTGACGGTTTGCAGATACATTTAATGCATATTGTAATGTGTCTTACGCATTTTAATACCTTTTTTGCTCTTTATGTATATGAATATATAGCCATTATTGCACACAGATACGCTTCATTTTAGATTGTTGGTAAATGGCTAATAAACGTACAGCTCACGTCATTGTTCTAGGTGATCTCTCGCGATCACCACGGATATTGTCTCAAGCTCATTTTTTAGCTCGTGATGGTTGGTATGTAACCATATCAGGCTACAATTCTGAATCAGTGAATTCATGGAGTTCAAGCGTAAAACCACTGGATATACCTGTTTGCCCGGATTTAAAAACACTTCATTTACCTTCATTTTTGGTCTTCATCTTTAAGGTAAAATAATTCTTAAAGTAATCAAGTTAACTTTAGTTTATTTTTATAGCATTATCATTGTTTCTTCATCTTGTAAAGCACTGTCGAAGTGAATTAATAATAATTCAAAATCCTCCAGCCGTCCCAACTTTTCTTATTACATGGATATTCATTAAGATTACTGGTAAAAGTTTAGTAATTGACTGGCACAACTACGGTTTTACTCTGCTGGAACTCAATGCTTCGAGTAAAAGCTTGTTCACACGGTTAGCAAGTTTTGTCTGTTTTCAATCTGTACTGACATTTTTATAGACTGTACTATACGTTGGAAGTGGGTTTCGCCAAGGCATTTTTTTCGAGTAGTATATCAGATCGCGTTGCCCATTTATGTGTGTCAAAAGCTTTACAGCGTGATTTGGAGACGAAAGGTATTCAAGCAACTGTTTACTATGATCGTGCCCCAGACGGATTTGTTCCCACCTCATCTCAAGCTGCTCATCGTTTATTTTTGAAGTAAGAATATTAAATTTTTGTTTATCAAGTCATCAAATGAACAAGTAGTATGCACTATCACAGTTTATAAAATTTGTGTAGGTTTCTTTGAAGAAATAAGTCCCTTCCGCGGATGCCCGGCGCTCTTCACCGGGTTGACTGTGCATTGGATGAAAGTCTAGGGGAGATGACTAAACCCTGATTCCAAACCTCCAACGACTGGATTATGAAGCTCACTGGAGCTCACCGGCAGACGTATGGACAAAGGGCTCGTTGGATGTCCTGGATGTCTGGCCTCATTCAAAAAGGCGTATGAACCGGACTCCGGTCACCGGCTGGCTGCCAATGGATAGTGGACTCCCTACTCCACTCCTACTGCCTTGTAGGTCACACTTGGTTGTGTAAAGGCTAGAGCTGCATTCTCAAACAAAAGGCCGAGCGATGCTGGGGACATCACTCGTACCAAATTCCCATGAAACTTCATGAACTCTCTTGTTCATGAAGCCGGCTCATCCTCCCGTAGGAGATAGCCGAAGTAAAGTAAGTAAGTTTACATTCTAAACGGAACTCTGGTTACCTAAATACTATGTTGGACTGTATCACTTCGATACAATTCAGTAGTATTATTTAATTTAATAATTATTCGCTTGAGTTCAAAGTGGAGTGTAGGGTTACAACAGCACATCTACATTTCATCTTGCTTTCTGCGGTCCTCTTTAGCTATCGTCACAATCACCCATAAGCTCTCATCTCCTTACACGATCTCCTCATGTCACGCTCGGACACTGAACTCGTCGTTTCCAATTCGGGTTTCACTCGAAGGCTTGGCGCGTGATGTCACTGATAAAAGTCTGAAGCCTGTCCCAAACGTCTGTGATGCCGCTCACACCAAGTCTATGAACCACATTGAAGCACTGACTGACTTGACATTAATGTTGAGAATCCGAATCTTGTTGCTAATGCTGATTGTAGCAGATTTACGGACTGATTTCAGAGTAGTGAAAGGTTGTCTGGCATCCTCAACCGTTCCAGTTGTAGTGGAAACGATGCTGCTTAGATAGGTGGGAGAATTTCTATCGATACTAGTTGGTGCCTTTTGTTGTTGGTTAGTTATTTCCACCACTCTTGTCTCTTCCATGTTCACTTGAAGTCCTGTCTTCACTGTCGGCTTCTTCAGTCAACTTGTTGGTCTTCACCTTTAGAGCTTCGAGTTTGAATGACATTAGACATAAATCATTCGCGAAATCTAAACTTTGAGTATTCTCTTTGGTCCAGAGTATGTACGTCTTCTCACACCTCGTGACCTGTCACATGATCTAATCGGCCACAATCATCTTTGATCGTATACAGCCTTGTCTTACTTCTGTCTTCAATCTAAGGGTTTCATTGAGTTTTTTCGGTTGTGAAACATTTTATTTATTTATTCAAATTAGTAAAGGGGAATAAATGTATGAAACATTTTGTAAGTGTCATTGTCATGTAGCTGCTGAATAAAGTTGATAAAACTCTGCGGTAGTCTGTAGTATTGAAGTAGTTACCGAATTATTTTGCGATTAACGATGTCGATTGCCTTTCCGAAGTCGATGAAGTCGAGATAGAGACTTAACTATCATTCTATTTTCTGTTCTATTATGATGCGTAGCATTGCTGTCTGATCAGCGCATGATTTGCTTTTCTTGTATCCAGCTTGCTCCTGGAGAAGTTTTGCATTCAGAGCACCTTGTAGTCTTCCCAAGATGACACCACGTAATATTTTTAGTGTGCACAGGAACATAACTCCGAGCCAGTTCTTGGAAAGTGTTAATTCGCCGTTCTTTTGAAGTTGGACGCGTTAGTCATTCTTCTAATCAGTAGGGGCTTTTCCCTACTTTCTTACCTACTGCAATAGTAGCATGAGGATATCTGCTGTGGTTTTGGGATCCGTTTTCAATGCTTTCGGGGATCCTACTTTATACTGTTGCTTTACTGGCTCTCAGTAGCTATGTAGTACCCAAGGTTTCTGCTTTTGTGTGTTCACTGGCAGTTTTGTGGCCGTGGCATTTCTTGATGATTTTGTAGGTGGTTGGATCAAGAGCCCTTTGAAGTGATCGACTCAGTTTCTTTTGCTTCTCTTCATTTGTATTTAGGTTTCCTTGGCAATCTTTGAGTGGTTTTACTTGTATTGATTTGTTCCCGGATAGCAACCTGATTATCTGATGTAATGTTGCGTGATCCTTCTTATATATAGCCTATTGTGCGTCAGTTGCTAGTGTGTCGTATAATTGTGTTTTCTCCCTCTCCTCATTTTTCTTCACTTCTTTATTCAGCTCACTTTAGATTGAATTCAACTTCTGTTTTTGTTGTTCATCTTCTAGTTCACCATTCTTCTCTGCTCTTTTAGCTTTTGGATGTCCGTAGAGAGCGATTCCTTGTGTCGCCTATTCTTCTTTCCTAAGTGGTCTATACTGGTTTCATTAACATTACTTTTAGAGCGTTCCACTGTTCTTCCACAGAGGCTTCCTTGATGACGCTTCATACTGCCTCCAATCACCAATCCATTTAAGTTATTGAAGTCTGCGAAAAGTTCTCTATTCTCATTCATTTTTCTGGGCGACCCCCGACCCATAATGGATTTTTTTTCCGTAGTGTTTGGTTCCAGTTTGCCGTTTATATCACCCAATAGGATTTTGATGCCATTTTTTTTCCATTTTATTACTGCTTGCAGTTACCTGTTTATGCTGTCCTTCTTCTTGTGGTCTGAGTTGTTTGTAGGCGTGTAGCACTGGATAATTGCAAATTCCCCTCCTTTTGAGTTGAGTCTTGTTGTTATGACCCTGGAAGAGATGCCGTTGGTGACATCGTGAAAACCACTCCTTCAGTGTGCCTGTGGTTGTCGTGTTAGCCACCGGCACAGGTTAATGACCGTGCAGCCAACAATCTAGAAAGCCAACTTCCATTCCAACAGCTGTCACAAATTCCTAGCACTTCTATACCGTCTCTTCTAGTTTCTTTGGCAATTTAAGCAACCTTTCCGGCTTTGGACATTGTATGGATATTCCATATTCCCGTACAAATTTTTGCTTTTGTTGGGTTTAGGACTATCTAAGAAACTAGTGGATTGATAACGGTGAGGCTGCACCTCAGTAACAGTATAAAATTGACTCGCTAGTTTTTTATTATTATATTATTATTGCTCCCTTTTGTTCCTAGTGGAACATAGGGCTTCAACTTGTTTCTGTCTTTTGCTGTAATTTCCACCTGCATCCATGTTAATCCATACTGCTTCAACTCCTCTTCACACGATCTCCTCCATGTCACCCTTGGACGTCCCGCTCTCCTCTTCCCTTCCGGGTTCCACTCGAGGGCCTGACGCGCGATGTCACCAACCGGCCTCCTCAACGAGTGTCTAATCCATCTCCACTTTCTCCTGCATATTTGTTGGGCGATTGGTTTGTTCTTGTTTTGTTTCTTCCCATAGTTTCTTGTTGGTGATTCTGTCCGGCCCGAGCATCTGATCTTCAGTAAAGAGCGAAGACAGTTGTTGATAAAGGTCTGGTCTGCAACAGGCTGTTGGAAATATTCTTTGTGACCCGCCCGCCAAGTTTCTGATCCATATAGAGGAGCTGACTGACTTGACGTTTGTATTGAAAATCCGACCGAATTTTGTCGTTGATGCTGAGTGACGAAGATTTCCAGATTGGTTTCAGGTAGATGAATGTGTTTCTCGCCTTCCCGATTCTCGCTCGATTTGACATCCTCGTCCGTTCCGACTGCCTGTAGTTAAGACGATGCTCCCTAAACAAGTGAGTGAATGAGGTCACCTCTTTCAAATCCCTCCCGTTGATGGTGATTGGCACTGGATGTTGCTGTTGTTGTTCTTGTTGTTGGTTGGTTATTTTCATGACTTCCGTCTTGTCTATGTTCACCTGGAGTCCTGTCTTTGCCGGCTGCTTCTTCGACCAGTTTGTCGGTCGGTTTTCGCTTGTAAGTCTTCGATTTTGTGTGACATCAAACATAAATCATCCATGCGCAAAATCCAGGTCTTCTAGGTTCTTCACGTCGGTCCAGGATATCCCTGTCTCCTCGTTTCCCATTGTCCGACGCATAATCCAGTCCACCACATTAAGGAATATCATTGGTGATAATAAGCCAGCACTCTTGTCTGACTCCTGTGTTTACTCTAAACGCCCCGCCGAGTGAGTTTTCCGTTGTGGATCACTCGACATGTGCCGTTGTCGTACAGCTGTTGAATAAGGTTGATGAATATTTGGGGCACGCCGTAGTACTCGAGTAGTTTCCAAATTACTTCACGGTCAACGCCGTCAAAGACCTTCTCGAAGTCTATAAAGTTGAGGTAGAGGTTTATATATGTGTAAAACTTGGGCACTGTGGTAGTAAGTAATTCCATATTAGTTTGTTTATTAGATATACCACACAGTGAAACAGTATTACTTACTGTATGATGTTTCGAACACAATTTATTGTTCATAATCATATCAATTGTAATCACTCGACTTTGAAACCTTATTTTTATAGCTTTCTTTGCTTTCTCCCATTTGTCGTAGGGGTAGTAGAATTTTCCAGATATCTGGGACAGGTGTTGAATCGTTTCTATTACATGTATTCGCAGTTGATTCGATAAACAAAGCTTCTGTTATCAATCTCTCCCTATACCCTGTGACATTAGATTTTAAAACTGTCATCCTATCCCATCCTATTGTATGGTTGTGTGTAACTGCATGTAGTGCTATAGCTGAACTATTCTCTAGATTTCTTATCTTATTTGGGTCAACCAATCTAGATTTAGCTAGGTTTTTATGTTCGGCTAGTCTGACTACCCCTGTTCTACTAGTTTGACCTATGTATTTGACCTCACAATCATTGCAAGGGGTATTAGATAAACTAAATTGTTTTGTTTTAAAAGCTCCACAGGATCCTTTAACCGACAAAGTTTGTTTCTAATTGAGTTTGTGGGTTTGAATGCCACTTTTATTCCTGCCTTGTTAAGTATTCTGCGTAAGGCTTCCGAGGTTCCTTCCTTG